ATGAACCGTCCCCCCTTTCCTGGGAATGGGAATCTAAAGGGTTCTGAGCTCCTCCCTCCATCTCAGCTCTGCCCTTCTGCTGTCCACTGAGCCTGTCTGCAGACTGTTGGCCTTCCTCTGCCTGTTCCCCTGGACTGTGGGGTGGCCCTGGCCTGCTCTTGGTCTATGCTGAGTTTCAGTTGCAGAAATGCAATCTAACTTCTGGTCTTTGTGTTGTTTTCTTGTTTTGGTGCTAGGGATGGACCTGAGGCTGGAGTATGCTCGCTATGTAGACCAGGCTAGCCTTGATCTGAGATCTGCCTGCCTCTACTTACTTTCTGAGTACTGGGATTAAATGTGTGTACCACCACACTCAGCCCAGAAGACTTGTCTTTTTTTTTCTCTTATGTGTTTGTTTTGCCTGCATATATGTAAATATACCATGTGAGTGCAATGCCTACAGAGGCCAGAAGAGGGAGTCGGATCCCCTGGAACTAGAGTTAGGACTGTTGCTAGCTGCCATGCTGGGAACTAAACCTGGTCCTCTGCAAGAGCAACCAGCACTCCTAACCACTGAGCCATCTCTGCAGTCCTCTAAGTCATCTCTTGTGTCTTTCGGGTCATTGCTTTTGACCGTGTGACTCCTTGGGGACATTTGCCCACCTCTGCCTGTACATCTGAGCCAGTCCAGGTCCCAGGGAACCTTTCTGTGTTCTCCCAGGACCTGGCTGGCCTTGGAATCTCTAGGCAGAGTCTGGAGTTACCTAGATCCCTCCTTTCTGAGTTTCTGGTTCCTTTGGGGAGGTGTCACTGTTCCTTCCTGTAAATCCAGAAGCCCCACTTCACCCCCAGATCTTCCCCTTGTGCAGCCTTGTGCATTCTAACTCTAGACGCCCCTTGGGGCAACAAGAGAGGCCTGGGTTTCTTCCCTTAGGCTGAAGGGTGTCCCAGCTCCTTATCTGGATCCAGCCAGACTCTGGTCTGGCCTGCCCCTTGCTGCCTGCCCCACTCTCTGTGCACCAGTGCATTTCTTTTTTTTAAATTTTATGTGTATGAGTATATTGTCTGCATATATGTAAGTGCACCCGTGTTGTACATTGTCTACAGAGGTCAGTAGAGGGTGTTGGATCCCCTGGAACTGGAGTTATAGATAAGTTGTTAGCTGTCATGTGGGTGCTGGGATTTGAACCCAGGTCTTCTGCATGAACAGCCAGTGTTCTTAACCACTGAGCCATCTCTCCAGCCCCTTATTTTAATTTTTTATGTGTATTGAGTATATTGCCTGCATGTGTGTGAGTGTACCTATGTCATGCAATGCTTTGGAGGTCAGAAGAGGCCATAGGATTCCTCTGGAATTGGAGTTATGGACCATTGTAAGCTGCTGTGTAGGTGCTGGGAACTGAACCCAGGTCCTCTGCAAGAGCAGCCAGTGCTCTTCTCCACTAAGCCATCTGTGCCACATACATGTTCATGCATGTTCATCATTCACTGGTTGTGCTCCCCTCCTGTGTTTTCCCTTTTTCTGTGGCACCGGAGATGGAGGCCAGGTCCTCTCTTCTACCCCTCCCTTACTCCCGGTCTCCGCCCCCCGGTTGTGAGGCCAAGGTTGGCGGCCTTCAACTCAAGATCCTCCTGCTTCAGCCTTCAGAGCTGTGACATCACAGGTGAGAGCTGCCAGGCTCTTTGCCTCAGCTTCTACCCTCTTCCTGAGGCTTCGTTTTGGTCCCTCTGTCCAGCCCAGGACAGTTCCCTCAGCACTCACAGGGTTGTATCTGCCTCTCCTTCACACCGCAAACCTGCACTCCTTCAGGCCTTCTGCCAGAGCTGAGCACCTTTGTTTTTGAATTTTCCATGTTTGTGACTCCACCCCCATCCCCTTAAGCATCCAAGAACAATACAGTGTTTTCTGCTTATCTGCCAGACCATGCAGGTCAGGGCTCCTGTGTGTGTTTGTGTGTACATCTGCACACCAAACTCCATGCCAAGTGCTGGACATCTAGATAGGTGAGATCAGAACCTGCTGGAGGGAAGCCCAGTTTGCCAGCAGGAAGGTTTGAGCAGGTGTGATGGTGAAGATGGGGTGCCTGAGTACCTACCTGCCTTCCACAGACAGCTGCCTGGCTCTGCCTCATGACTGGGAGGGAGAGCAGCAGGCCCAGGGTCTATGTCTGTGAAGGACTCCACATGCAGAGCCTTAGTGGGTGGCCTGTTCTTGGTGGTGATCCTGGTCTCACTCCTCACCCCAAGAGCCTCCTTTCATGAAGACTAGATGTGTGTCCAGGAGGCCATACTTCCTCTGATCTGATCCTGGCCCCGTGCTCAGCTGAGCAAGGATGGGACCCAGGCATGGATGGCTGGGAGGAAGGGCCACAGCAGCAGTGGTTGGCCAGCCTTCTACTCCCTGGCTTGTGGGTGCTGTATCTGAGGAAGGTAGCTGTGGACATAAGCAGTGCCCAGCCATGGTCTGGTGCTTGCAGTGTGCCTGCCCAGGCGGCTGCTCCTGGTTCCCTGAGGCTGCCAACATCTTCAGCAAAACCCTGGGCAGCCTCTCAAGTTTGAGTCATGCATGTGGCCAGCCATCCCCAAACTAATCACTGTCTGGGTTAGACCCATCTAATGGCTGGCTGGAGGGCATGGCCCGCCTCCCTGAACATAGGGATGTGGGCATCTCCAGCAGTCCACAGAATGGGCAGAGTGACCAGGGAGGGGCCTGTTAGCCTGAGACATGGCAGCTAGGTGAGCTGTGCAGGGAGGAGAAGGGTAAAGGTGACCTGGGTCTTTTGTTTTAACTCAATTATTTAAAATTTAATTTTATGTGTTTGTGTTTTTTTTTTTTTTTTGAGACAGGGTCTCCCTGTAGCCCCAGCTGGCCTGGAACTCACTATGTAGACCAGGCTGGCCTTGAACACACAGAGACCCGCCTGCCTCTGCCTCCCAAGTGCTGGGATTAAAGGTGTGCACCACCATGCCCGGCTATTTTATTTTTTTGGTATTTTATTTTTATTTTATGTGTATGTGTGTATTGCCTGCATGTAGGTAAGTGCACCTGTGTTGTGCAATGCCCGCGGAGGACAGAAAAGGCTGTCGGATCCCCTGGAACTGGAGTTACGGGCAGTTGTTAGCTGCCATGTGGATGCTGGGATTTGAACCTGTGTCTTCTGCAAGAACAGCCGTCTTTCCAGCCCCAAGATTTATTTTTATTTGTTTATTTTTTAATTTTTGGTCTTTTTGAGACAGGGCCTCCCTGTAGCTCCAGCTGCCTGGAACTCTGTAGACCAGGCTGGCCTCAAACTCACAGAGGATCCGCCTGCCTCTGCCTCCCGAGTGCGAGTGCGAGTGCTGGGATTAAAGGCGTGCGCCACCATGCCTGGTGATTTATTTTTATTTTTAATTATGTGTTTATGTGTACATCTGTGTATGAGCTTGTGCACATGTGTGCAGGTGTCCAGGGAGGCCAGGAGAAGGCATCAGATCCTCTGGAGCTGGAGTTACAGGTGATTGTGAGCTGCCTGATATGGGTTCTGTTAAGGTTCAGATAGCCCTGCCCCCTCACCAACGGGGTCTCAAGGATTTCTCATGCTCCTGAGAAAAGGGAACCCGAGCTGATAAACACCCTGGTCTTTGAAGTCAAGAGAAGCAGACTTTTCTCCACTGTTTGGCCAACACAGCAGGCTTCCCCTTTGATCTCTAAAGAGGACAGGTTTTAACAGTCCCGCTCTCCCACTCCCCACTTTAAAAAAATACATCTTCCCACCTTCTGCAGGAAGCAGGAGACTCCCCCTAAAAGACCCCAGCTCACGACCCGAGGCAGACATTTTCCCTGTCCCATGTGTTCCTTTGCTAATAAACTGCTTTCTCCTGATCAACCCTGTTCATCATACGGCTACTTTTTTTTTTTTTTACCTATCAGGTTCTAGGACTTGAACCTTAGTCCTCTGTAAGGGCAGCAAACTTAAGTCTTAACCATTGAGCCATCTCTTCAACCCTCACCCTCTTAAAGTGGTTATTTTTGAGACAGTAAATCTTACTATGTAGCCCTGGAGCTATGGTAGACCAAGCTGGCCTGGTACTCACAGAGATCCACCTGCCTGAGGCTCCTGAGTAGTGGGATTAAAGGCTTGTGCTTAAAGTGGATTAAAAAATTTGGAGGGGAGGGTAGGAGCGCAGGGCTTTAGATATGACTCAGTGGTTAAGAGCTTGTGCTGCTCTTTTAGAGGACCCAGATTCAGTTCCTAGCACCCACCGTGGGTGGCTCTCAACTGCCTACAATTCTAGTTCTGAGAATCTGACGCCCTCTTCTGGTCTCAGGTACTTGCATGCACGAGGTGCACAGAAACCCACATAGGCACATACACATAAAAATGTAAGTGCATGGGGCTGGAGAGGCGGCTCAGCAGTTAAGAACACTGGCTGTTCTTGCAGAAGACCCAGGTTCAAATCCCAGCACCCACATGGCAGCTAACAACTGTCCGTAATGCCAGTCCCAGGGGATCCGACAGCCTCTTCTGACCTCAACTGGCATTTCATGACACGGGTGCACTTACCTACATGCAGGCAATACATGCATATGTATAAAATAAAAATGCATCTTTTAAAAATATGTGTATGCGTGTGTTGTCTGCATGTAGGTGAGTGCACCCATGTTGTGCAATGCCCACGGAGGACAGAAGAGACTTTCGGATCCCCTGGGACTGGAGTTATGGACAGTTATTAGCTGCCATGTGGGTGTGGGAATTGAACCTGGGTCTTGTGCAACAACAGTCAGTGTTCTTAACCGCTGAGCCGCCTCTCCAGCTCCCCAAAATAAATGCATCTTAAAACTTCTTCTAGTGTGTGTGTGTATGTGCTCAGGCATACATGTGCCATGACACATGTCAAAGGCACAGGACAACTTTCAGGACTTGGTTCTTTTTCCACTGTGTGTTTGGGGATGGATCTCAGGTTGTCAGGCTTGGTGGCAAGTGCCTTTATCCACTGAGCCATGTCACTAGCCCATGACCCTGGTTTTGATCTCTTTCCAGAAAAGTTGCCAGACAGCCAGCATCGCCACAGCAGAGGCATCTGCCCAGGCTCAGACACATGCTGATGCCCAGATACAGACGGAGACTCCTGAGCCAGTGGCTGTGGTACCTGTGTCCCAACACGACAACCCCCGGCTTGTAGCCTTTCTCCAGAGGGTAGAGGCCATGGTCACCCGGGAGCTGAACAAGAACTGGCAGAGCCATGCCTTCGATGGCTTCGTGGTAAACTGGACTGAACCTCAGCAGACGGTAGGGTATGGCCTGTGGGCCTGGTGTGGGGCCCTTCCCAAGGCCACGTAGTCCTCTGGAGCTTTGGGGTTGCTTTAGCATGCCAACCAGATCAGCAGGTGCCAAGGGAATGGGGCTGACTCACCCTGGGAGGAAGTGCCACCTGCTGTCCATCTTACACCCGAAGGGAAGCAGGCTAGCTGCAGTGAAACTGAGTGGCTGAAGAGGTATGGGGTTTAGTCCAGGGCAGCTGGCCACTGTGCCTCCTATTCCTGCATGCAGGGGCTTCTGTAGGCCGGCCCTCCACACGTCCTGCTGTGGTGTCTCCCTCAGGTCAGCTGTTTGAGGCAGTACCATGCTAACCTCCACTTTTTTTCTTTTTTGGTTTTGTATGTAGCCCTGGCTGGCCTGGAACTCTCTATGTAGACCAGGCTGGCCTGGAATTCCAAGAGGTTCGCCTGCCTCTGCCTCCCAAGCATTGGTATTAAAGGTGTGCGCCACTTTATAGATGAGGCTCTGAGAGGCTGAGGGATTTACCAAGAGTTGTACAGCTCAATTGTCCCAGCTGGACTTGAATCCTGGCCTGTCCATCCCAGTGCTCTGATGCTATCCACATCTCTTGGTGGTCTTCTCCAGGCACAGTCCAGCTGTCGCCCTGTAGCCTCAGGTGTGCCCCAATGTCCAGATCAGCTAAATGGTGAGGTCACCATTGAGGTCACCCCCTTCACCTCCTCTCCCAAATATGTTGTCAGTGGGACAGTTTAGCTAAGTTTTTTGAGGGTGCCATGGATTGAACCATGCCTTTTGCATGCTAAGCAAATCCTGTACCACCGAACCCCACCCCCAGCCCTAAACGTCTATTTTTTTAAAGACAGGGTCTCGCAACATAGCCCTGATTGGCCTGGAACTTGGTTCTGTAGACCAGGCTGGCTTTTAACTCAAAGGGATCCACCTGCATCTGCCTCCCAAGTGCTGGGATTAAAGATGTGTGTCACCAAGCCTGTCCATAGGTATTTTTTTTTTTTTTTTGAGACCCATTCTCATGTAATCCAGGCTGGCCTCCAACTCTCTTATGTAGTTGAGGATGACCCTGACCTTCTAACCTCCTGTCTCTACTTCCTAAGTACTGAGATTATAGGCATACAACACTATGCCCAGTTTATGAGGTGCTGAAGATTGAATCCAGAGCTCGAGTGAAGAATATTCAAGTGCCTGGCATGATGGTGGCGCACATCTGTAATCTCAGCACTTAGAGGCCGAGGTGCGAGACCCTGTCTCAGAAAAAGCCACAGCCTGTTTGAAATAGTTCAGGCAGACCAGACACCGATGGAAGAAGGCAAAGAACTATTTATTCTTTTTTTTCCTTTTTTTAGTAACTTTAAAAAAAATAATTTTGTGTGAGTGTATTGCCTGTATGTATGTGAGTGCACCTATGTTGTACAATGCCCACGGAGGTCAAAAGAGGTTGTCAGATCCCCTGAGACTGGAGTTACGGACAGTTGTTAGCTGCCATGTGGGTGCTGGGATTCGGACTTGGGTCTTCTACAAGAACAGCCAGTGTTCTTAACCGCTGAGCCACCTCTCCAGCCCCTGACTCCAGGCTTTTTAAGGAGAGCTATGAGTACGCTTGTCTAGGCTTCTACAGCCTGTGCTTTATTGTCTTTTTTCATATTTTTTAGTTCATTTATTTATGTTTGAAAGTTTAAGCTGGTTTATTTAGCAGAGCAAATATTTCAAAGACAGATTGGAGTATACTGCCCCAAGGCAGCGAACCTATATTATTATTTAGAGACAGAATCTTACTCTGTAGCCCAAGCTGGCCTGGAACTCACTATGTAGCCCAGGCTGGCCTCAAACTCATGGCACCCCTCCTGCCTCAGCCTCCTGAATATTGGGATATAGGTATGTGGCAACACATCCAGTGGGCCTATGCCTCTCTGCTCCTTGGGTGTCTGTCTAGGATTGGGACTGCTGGCGCATGGCCTCTGGGGAACTGCCAGCCCTTCCAGCCATGCACACTTATTAGCAGAGGGCAGGTGCTCCCTCAGGCTTTTTTGAAGCTTGGCTAGTTTTCACATATGGGGGCAATGAGTCCAGGAGGTGTGGCTGGAGCTGCCTGGGATGTTGATCCTCTGGGGCCTGGCCCCTCCCCTCGCATCCCTTGGGATCCTGACCATCTCCTTTGCTGCTCCTGAAACAAGATTCCAGAGGCTAGACAGAATCTTACTCTGTAGCCCAAGCTGGCCTGGAACTCACTATGTAGCCCAGGCTGGCCTCAAACTCATGGCACCCCTCCTGCCTCAGCCTCCTGAATATTGGGATATAGGTATGTGGCAACACATCCAGTGGGCCTATGCCTCTCTGCTCCTTGGGTGTCTGTCTAGGATTGGGACTGCTGGCGCATGGCCTCTGGGGAACTGCCAGCCCTTCCAGCCATGCACACTTATTAGCAGAGGGCAGGTGCTCCCTCAGGCTTTTTTGAAGCTTGGCTAGTTTTCACATATGGGGGCGATGAGTCCAGGAGGTGTGGCTGGAGCTGCCTGGGATGTTGATCCTCTGGGGCCTGGCCCCTCCCCTCGCATCCCTTGGGATCCTGACCATCTCCTTTGCTGCTCCTGAAACAAGATTCCAGAGGCTTAATTTGGGGGGTGGGAGCAGGGAAGTGGAGCCAGATTTACTGGCTCACATCTGTAATCCCAGCGCTCATGAGACTAAAGCAGGAGGACTGCCCAGTTTGAGGCCAGCATTGGCTGCTTAGTGAGACACTGAATTATTTTTCCCGTTTTGTAACTGTCCCCATAACAAAGTTGACCATGCTAGCCAGTTCAGTGGGAATGAGCGCATTTGCTTGTGTACAGCCGATACCACCTTCTAGCTCTTGGCCTACCATGCCGAGCCCTGTGTGGCTGAGGCCCGTGCCTATGGCCTGGATCCTGCATCATCTTTGTTTTTAGGCCCCATCCTCCAGTGTTCTGGAAGTATCCTACAAGACAGATACCAGGATGAAGGCTGTGCATGTCTATTTTGGGGCAGGGGTGGGGGTCAGACATGGTCTTGTTATGTAGGCCTGGCTAGCTTGGTACTTTTTAGCTTAGGCTGGCCTGGAACTCATGGTGATCCTCCTGCCTCAGCCTTCCTAGTGCTGGGACTAGGCGTGAGCCACTGTACTTCTCATAGCCTGCATTGTCCTCTAGACTGACCAGTGGATGTGGACAGCCTTTGGGACTTGGGCTGCCCACGCCTGGGTGTGGTTTTCCTTACGTGGCCAGGATACCTGTTAGATGGCTTTGGCATTTAGAACTAGGAATGGCCTGTCTCTGCAGGTATCCTGTCTGCACACCCTGGGCTATCCCCCAGCCCAAGGGCAAGGTCTGCACGTGACCAGCATTTCCTGGAACGCCACAGGCTCTGTGTTGGCCTGCGCCTATGGCCGGTGAGTGGCAGTTGGGGCGGGTGGGAGGCAGTGGGAGACCCCAGGTCTTATTTGGGCCTCTGTTTCTCCACCTGTACAATAAAGGGTTGGCCCAAGAGTTTGGCCATCCTAAGTGCCTGGGCAGAGTTGGCAGGGGAAGCAGCTGAAAGCCCTGCCTCAGGGGCTCACCTCCCCATCGGGCAGTCAGCCCTGGGTCTGTCTCACCTTGAGCCTTTACCACCAGCACCTACCTGTTCCTTCATGTACTGGGGTCCCTGTCCACCACTACCTGGATCCTCACTTGAGATCTGAGGACCCTTCTTCCTCCTACCACAGGGTCTCATAGGTAGCTCAGGGCGGCCTCCAATTCTTTGATCTTGTCTCCACCTCCCAAGTGCGGGGAGTATAGGTCTGTGACCTCATGCCTGGGCTGGGGACCCTTTTTTAAAAAAATATTTTACTTATTTTTATTTTTTATGTGTATGAGTGTGTTGCCTGCATGTATGTGAGTGCACCCGAGTTGTGCAGTGCCGCAGAGGTCAGAAGAGAGCTTTGGATTCCCCTGGAACTGGAGTTAAGGACAGTTTGTAGCTGCCCTGTGGGTGCTGGGAATTGAACTTGGGTCCTCTGCAAGAGCAGTCGGTGCTCTTGACCACTGAGTCATCTCTTGGGGACCCTTTTTTAGAGAACATCATGCCTTCTGGGTGTCATACAGGAGCCATTGACACTTGTACACCCACAGAACAGGCTCAAGTGTGAAGGGGACACAGTTCAGTCCTTTCGGGGGTCAGTGAGGCAGAGGTGGAGGTGTTGGGAGTCCCAGGGCCCACTCAGGTGCGTTCATCCCTGTGCAGGCTAGACGATGGGGACTGGAGCACACTCAAGTCCTATGTGTGCACCTGGAACCTGGACCGGCGAGGTCTGAACCCCAGGCAGCCATCCGTGGTGGTGGAGGTGCCCAGTGCTGTCATGTGCCTGGCGTTTCACCCCGCGCAGCCCTCACACATTGCAGGTGAGTGCCGAGCCTCCGGTTCAGGCTGTGCTTCCTGAGCCAGCAAGATTTCCGTTGGCCTGCCAGCTTCGGGGTTGGTCAGGGCAAACTGCTTGGGTGACCCTGAGGCTGCTCTGGTGCCCTGGGTTGTCTGCAGCTGGGGGACAAGCTGTCTGTCAGGATGTGTGAGGGGTGTAGAACTTAGAAGAAGGGGTGATTTGGAAGGGGCCGAGTCCAGCTGTGCAAGAGGCAGGATGAGAGGCGGTGCTCTCAGCAGTGACAGCAGCTGTGTATGCGGGGGTGAGGGGGTTGTGGGGAGGTCGCTGGGCACAGGCACCAGCTTGTGAATGCTTGCTGGGGCACAAGGAAGGGATCATGTTTGAGGCTGGGTATGACTGAACTGATGCCCACCTGTTCCTACAGGGGGGCTGTATAGTGGTGAAGTGCTGGTGTGGGACGTGAGCCGACCTGAGGACCCGCTGCTGTGGCGTACAGGTCTGACTGATGACACCCACACAGACCCTGTGTACCAGGTCAGGAGGAGGTTGATGGGTGGGGCAGGAGGTAGCTGCCCAGAGCCTTGCAGGGAGCAGGACCTGTGGCACTGGGAAGGCTTCAGCTTCCCCAAGAGGAGCTCCCCAGGGAGATGGGAGTTGGACAGCTGCCTGGGCATTCTCGGAGCGCAAGCAGCACAAGTCAGCTCTCCTGCAAGTTGCCATCCAGGGCCATGACCCTTCCAAGCCTACTCAGGTGGCCTGAGCCCATCTCCCTGGGTCCTAAGATGGTGGGTTGGGAAGGGACCTTTTAAGTCCCTGTGGCTGCCTCTAGTGAGCCAGGCTGGCTCTGAGGCTTCCCTTGGAGTCTATTCCTGGGAGAGGGAGGGGGAGGCTGCCCTCACTCTCCATCCTGCCTCATACCTTGTCATCTCAGGTGCTTTGGCTGCCTGAGCCCCGGCACAGCCACCACTTCCAGGTGTTGAGCGTGGCCACCGATGGGAAGGTGCTGCTCTGGCAGGGGGTCGGGGCAGGCCAGCTGCAGCTCAGCAAGGGCTTTGCTCTGGTCGTGCAGCAGCTGCCTCGGAGCACCAAGGTGAAGAAGGTGCGCAGACCAAGGACGCAGGCCCAAGGCAGCTGGGCTGGGGAGTTCCCTACACTGCCAATGACCTGCCCTGCGCCCTCCCTCCCGGCCAGCGGCTGTCAGGGCAGTGTCATCTGAGGCCTTTGGTTCTGACCCTGTGGCTACCACTTTTCCACAGCCACCCCGTGGAGAGACAGAGGTGGGTGTGACAGCAGTGGCCTTCTCTAGCTTCGACCCCAACCTTTTTGTCCTGGGCACAGAAGGTGGCTTCCCACTCAAGTGTTCCCTGGCAGCGGAGGTGTTGGCGCTCACGCGGATGCCCAGCTCTGTGTCGCTGAGGGCCCCGGTGCAGTTCACCTTCTCTCCCCATGGTGGCCCCGTGTACTCTGTGAGCTGTTCCCCCTTCCACAGGTAGAGATACTGGCCATGCCACCCTGCCCCAACCTTCAAACTCTTGTGCTCTGATTGTTTCTGAGTTCAGTCCTTTGGTGGCTGGGCCTGGGGCTTGTCCTCGCTCTTGAGGACCCACCTTAAGAGTTGGGTGCTGAGGAGGCCCTGGTGGCAGCCCCATGCAGACTTTACTTTCTGCCCTGTGTCTTTCAAGGAACCTCTTCCTGAGTGCTGGGACAGACGGCCATGTCCACCTGTACTCCATGCTGCAGGCCCAGCCTCTGACCTCACTGCAACTCTCCCAGAAGTACCTGTTTGCCGTGCGCTGGTCCCCTGTGCGCCCCTTGGTTTTTGCTGCTGCCTCTGGGGAAGGTAGGAAGAGGCCAGAGACTGAATGTCTTTAAATGCAGAAGTCAGACTCATGGGTGAGGATGGCTTCTCTCCAGAAGGCCAACTGTCACCCACCACAGAGCACGCAGGGACCGGTGCCGCAGCATCGGTCCAGCCTCGGCTACCTTCCAAACCCGTCTCCCTGCAGGTGAGGTGCAGCTGTTCGATCTCCAGAAAAACTCCCAGAAACCTACGGTGTCCATTGCACAAACTCAGGACGGAAGCCCCGTGTACTGTCTTGAGTTTAACAGCCAGCAGACCCAGCTCCTGGCTGCTGGTGATGCCAAGGGCACGGTGAAGGTGTGGCAGCTGAGCACAGCCTTCACAGAACAGGGGCCTAGGGAAACGGAGGACCTGGACCAGCTGGCGGTGGAGGGAGCCACCTGAAGGCCCCAACCGGAGCAGGAGTGGGGTGTCCCCTCCAGGGAGTCTGTGCATGGAGCCCAGCACCTCCAGTGTGAGCTGAATAAAGAGGAGCAGAACTCTTGGGGGGGTCACATCCTTTATTTGTCTTTCACGTGAAAAACTCTGGGGAGGGAAGGGGACGAGGAACAAGCCAGCTGCTTTGATTTTTCTAAGTCGGAATGAGGGCGGCTGGCTCTAAACGTGATTGTAACTGGACCAGAAGCGGTTTACTGAAGCACCATTTCCTACTAAGTCTCACCCCAAGCAGGCTTACAGTTACACCGGAAGTAACACTGTCTGGAATATTCTTCTTGAAGCACAGAGGAGTTGACATGCAGTGAGGTGATAGCACAGCAGGCAGTGTGGGTCAGGCTAGCCTAGGAGCCAGGGATCAATTCACAAAGAGCGAGCGGGTGAACTCAACATAGTCAAAGGCAGTGGTGAGTTCTCGGCCCTTGCCATCCACGTAGGGCTTCATGTGGGAGACGCAGTAGTCGGCTTGCTCCCGGGTCAGGTTCTGGGGAAGAGGTGGTCCAGGAATCAGCTCAGTCAGTGCTGACCTCAAATGCCCAAAGGCAAGAGCTGGGCCAGGACCCCCCCCCGCCCCCCGCCAGACTGAGTGTGCGAATGGGATGAGACCGCTCGGCACTCAGGGGGGGCGCACCCTTTGGCCTCAGTTGTCCCCAGGAAATATTGCCCTTCCCAAGTTGTACCTGGAAGAGTTCTTCCTTGGTCACGTAAGGCTTGCCCTCGGAGCTCAGGGCCCGGAAAGCGCTCTCAATCTCCTCGCTGGACTTGACGTTCTCAGTTTCCCGGCTGATCATAAAAGCCATGTATTCTTGCAGGGAGACATGACCATCCCTAGAGGGGCAGGGATAGTAAGCAGGGAGGGCAGGAGGCCAAGACCATACCCACCACTGTTGCTCTGCTTACCTGTTGGGATCCACAGTGTCCAGGATTGCCTCAAACTCTGGGTCAGGCTCTCCTTCCTCTACCATAGGGAGGTCATAGCCCAGGGAGCGAAGGCAGGACTTGAACTCCTGATGGTTCAGCCGGCCAGATTTGTCCTTGTCGAAGTGTCTGCAGCACAGAGCCAAAGGTGGCTCAGCATAGAAACCCTGCCACCCAGCAGCCAGGGTGATGGGCCATACTCACTTGAACATCATGCTGAATTCCTTAAGGGCCTCCTCGGTTACTCCTGTTGTGTTTCTGGAAGAACAACACAGGTAAGGAACACGCCGTCCACAGACGGTGGCACACTCTCCCCTTGTGCCTGCTCCTTGCTGACAACTGTACTCTGGGCTGACCGCAGGTCAGTGCCCCGGAGTGTCCAGGTGTGGTACCTGGCCTGGATCTGCTGCTCCAGGTTGTGCTGCATGCGCATGCCCAGCTGGTCTAGTTGGTCCCACTGCTGGGCCAGGCCCACCGTGCTGTGCTCCGTGTACTTGTTGTCTAGGATGAGGGCTTCCTCCATGGCGGCCCCCAGGTCCTCAATCTTCTTTAGCTGACTTCTCATGGCTCGAATCTCTTGGTGCTTACGCTGCAGGGTGGGACAAAGGATGGAGCGCCTTCAGGTCCAGCTCAGGAGTTTATGCTGGCCCAGTACCAGCTAAGACTTCAGAGTGGGAATAGTCGAGAGACTGGATGGGGTAAGCCTGTGGAGGGCTTACAAAGCAGTTTAAAGAGCTGCGAGGAAATCAGTGTATAATGCACTGAACCTAGGGGACCCTTAAGTCAGCCTCAAGTGGGCCCAGTTATAGCAGTGGCCAAGAATTTTTTTAAAAAACCCTCAGGAGAACTTGGGGAGGCAGAGACAGGTGGATCTCTGTGACACTGAGGCTAAGCTTGAGGCCAACTAGGTCTACACATAACAAGTTCCAGGCCAGCTGGAGCTACAGGAAGGCCCTGTCTCAAAACGAATAACAAAAAACAAAATGAGGCTCAGGCTCAAGGGAAAGGGGTCTAGCTAGCCCATCTCGCAGGTGGATCTCTGTGACACTGAGGCTAAGCTTGAGGCCAACTAGGTCTACATAACAAGTTCCAGGCCAGCTGGATCTACAGGAAGGCCCTGTCTCAAAACGAATAACAAAAAACAAAACGAGGCTCAGGCTCAAGGGAAAGGGGTCTAGCTAGCCCATCTCAGGCCTGATTTAGGCCAAGGAGGAGCAGCAGGCTCAGGCTGGGGGAAGGCCCTGAGGTGGGCTCAAAGCCACCGGGTACTCACTTTGGTAGCTTCAAGCTGAGATTCGAGAGTTCCCGATTCTTCCACCATGCAGGACCTAAACACAGAAGCACAGTGAGCAGGGCCTGGTCACCGTAGGCCAGTGCCTAAGATTAATTCTCCTCTTGGTACACAATGCCTGGTGTCTGCAGTTCCTTTTACTGAGGAAACAAACTATCTGGTACTGGTCACCCCTCCTAACAGGCTGGGTCCCATTTCTGTTTTAGAGACACATAGGTCAAGGCCAGGGCTCCTTACCCTTAAAGGGTCACTCAGGTCTTTTTTTCCCCCAGAGTGGCTTCGGGCCTGACAGCTAGCTCATTCTCTGCAGCCATGGGAGGCCAAGAAAGGGAAGCCTCAGCTGAGAGCCCACTGAGCCCCCTTGATGCTCCCAAGGGAAAGGAGCCACATTCTAAGGTGACAGTACAACCCCTAAGATAGCAGGTAGGTTGAGAAAGTGGTACCAGCTGAGGGAGGACAGAGCTCTGATAGAACTCCAGATTCAGGTTCCAGCATCTAGACACTGCCAGGCCAGACTCGTTTTGAAGGCCAAGTTCTGAGGAGCCAAGCTTGGGGGGAGCCTACTTCTTTCCAAGATAAGTGCGGGGTCATATAAGGTTCCCAGTGACCAAAGACATCAAACGAGCAGGGTTACGTGCAGGGACGAGTTCACACAGTGCGCACGGCCCCTATCTCTTCACCCACGTCTACCCCAACCTATCCTTGTGAGCCAGGGTAAGCTCTAAAATCTCCCCAAGTTCAAAGTGCTTTAGCAAGGGAAGGCACCAGGCTTCCTCTTACCCCAGGTGGTGAGATTACAGGCACGCCCTGTCCCCAGGGAAAAGGGAGCCCCAGGGACTGGGGTAGGAGGCAGGGCCAGTGCAACCGAAGGGGACAGACCCTCCTCCCAAGCGGCCAGGGTGTGGGTTAGAAAGCAGAGCCGCCTGGGAGTCCAGAGTGCATGGGTCAAACCACAGTGAGGGAGGAAGAGAAAAAGAGAAGAACCTTCCAGACAGATCATCCCCAACTTCATACTGATAGACACGAATGACCCGACGATATGCTATGCTAGTCAAAGAAAAGAAACCAAATGAATACACCAAAGGGAGGCGAGGCAAGAGCATATCGAGACAGACACGTGCCACAAGGCCCAAGCTGACGGTGCACAGGCAAGGGCAGCCTGGCGCCGGGTGGGAAGCAGGGACAGCTCAAGGGGCACTGGGCCAGGCGGGACAGAGCTTGGGAGGAGCCACAGGTGAGGGAGCATGGCACCTCAGAAGACCAAGAGCAGCAGACAGCATGGGGCGGGAAAACCTGTGGACCCTCAATGTGGAGCTCAGGCCAGAAGCTGCCACCCCCCCACCCCCCCTTGTGAAGCCTCTGGCAGCCTGACTGGTTTGGGGAGATTTCTCTGGTCATCACCTTTACACATCTGACTTTCCCCTTTGCAGAATCTCGAGGGCTCCAGGTAAGTTCTTAGTCTGGGCTGGCCTGGGTACAGGCTCTTGCTAAGACTGGGGGACAGCCCTGCTCCTCCCTAGGGCTCCTCCAAGCCCTGTCTCCGTACCACATTGTAACACTGGACATTCCTGCCTTCTCCTAGAATAAACAATTCTGGTGACCTCCCTACGACGGAAGCCCTAGGGGGTGACGCTGCACCCAGCCTGAGCTCCCAGCATGGCCATCCAGCTTCACATGCCCATTAACCACCAGGGGCTAAATATCTTTTTCATTAAAGTGGGGAAACAGGCAAAATGGAAGTCCAATACAATTCCTGGTGAACAGGTGGGACAGGGTTCCAGGTTTTGGACTGGAGCTCTAGCCTCTCACAGTTGCATTCTGGGCAGAAAAGGGAAGTAATTCCCAAAGACTATAGGCTCTAGCAGGGACAGTGGGTGTGGGGCAAGGTGGGCAGGAAGGCCCATCCTGGATCCTTTGCAAGCCAGGCCACTGGGGAACAAGGGGCACAGGGACAAGCACACGAGACGCCACCACACCACGAGCCCGGAGAAAGAAGACAATATTAACCCATCGAGAAGGTATGTTCTGTGGGGATCCAGGCAGCCAGGAGGCAAGGTGGTGTCCAAACACAGCAGCGGTCAGGAGGAGGCAGAGAAGGAAGGAAGAAGGAAAACACGTTAGTCCCTTTCTGACACTGACCTGTGCCAGGTCTCACTGAGCCTTGCACAGTCCCACTCTATCTAGGACAGCCAGCAGCACCATTTCTGGGGAAATGTACCCTGCACCACAGAGAGCCTTCTAGCTGCCCCATCCAACCATACTGTACCAGCCCTCCTCTCAACTCTAAGCAGTCTTGGATTTTGGATGGTTACTTTTTTTTCCAAATTAAAAAATTTTGTTTTGGGACTGGAGAGAGGGCTCAGCTGTTAAGAGCACAGGTGCACTTATACACTCCATGCACACAAAAACAAAAAAAATTTTTAAAAATTTTGTTCAGCTTTGTATCTTTAGTATTTCATTTATTTTCATTTTTAAAAAGGTATTTTATGTGTATGCGTGTATGGCCTGCATGTAGGTAAGTGCACCTGTGTCCTGCAATGCCCACGGAGAACAGAAGAGGCCGTCGGATGCCCTGGGACTGGAGTTACGGACAGTTGTTAGCTGCCATGTGGGTGCTGGGATTTGAACCCAGGTCTACAAGAATAGCCAGTGTTCTTAACCACTGAGCCATCTCTCCAGCCCCCTATTTTTATTTTGTGTATAAATGTATTGCCTGCATGTGTGTAAGTGCACCTGTGTCTTGCAGTGCCAGTGGAGGTCAGAAGAAGGTGTCAGATTCCCCCAGAACTGGAGTTCCAGATGGTTGTAAGCTACCATGTGGGTGCTGGGAATCAAACCCG